ATATAGCTCATAACATAGTATTTGGAGAATTGTTACATAAGTTGAAAATTTATGTTTACAGATTTTTATATATAATTTTGAAGAATAACCAAATTATATAATATAAAATACCCTTATACATTTTAAGGAATTTAGGCCTATATAATTTAGAAATAATTAAGCCAAATAAAAAAGAATAAGAAGGACAATCCCGGTCTTGGAAGCCGCGTGGGTCTGACAAATCCTATAACTTAAGGCTCTAGTAGCCCGGGGTAGCGTCCCGCTAATGTCCTTGAGAGACGGGCAACCCGTGCGACTAGGTAGCTAATGGCAGGTAGCAAATTGACAGCCGGCGTCACCGTATGGCAGCTGATATCAATCCTCTTCTATGTGCGAGGACAGTCATTGAATCCCTGGACCTGGTTCTGCGGTTGGATTGGCCGCGCGTAATGCGGATTGGCGGAACGCATATGCCACAAAAACTAGTTATTTGATTATGGCAAAGCACACGAGTGCTATCTGCCTAAGGGGAGGGATTACTTAGTGGAGGACTTTCTAAGGAAAACTGGCTCGTATACACGATACGCTTAGGGAAAGCAACAGAAACACCATGCAGCCAGCCCATTCGCCTGAAATCTACTCCAGATCGGAACTACCAGTATCCAACGATTTTACCGCTCATATGCTGGTGGGCGGCATATATGACGCATTAGTTTATTAAGGCCAATATTTTTCAGCCACATAAACATAGTCATTCGACTATTCTACCACTGCTTGCAGTATTTTATAATAATTTTCTTTGACTTATTTCTGAATGTATGTGGTTTTTGGAATCGGAATTTTTCATATATTTATGTTGGCATTATTCTTGTACTGTATTTCTATCGCGTCGCCAGCAAACCTGATGTAGAGTTTTTATATTACTTGGAGTGGTTTTGTTTTTAAACCAAATTTATGTTTTGCATTGTAATAATATCTCAGGTTCAGTGTGTTTTATGATAATATTGTTCAGGTATCAAAGTTACTGGTTCTTAATTCTGAATTCATATGAAAAAATTTTATTTGGCAGTTTATTATTGTCTTAGTTTATCTTTATGCATTTTTTTTCCCTAAATTGAATGGTTCTTCTTGAATTTGTGAATCTAATTGATATTAATTGTGTATAATGCAGTAATGGATGTATTATATTTTGTTTGTACTATAGTTTTTATTTAAATTAGTTGGACTCAGTTTTGAAAGTATTTCGTATTTTCAGTACAAATTATGAAAGTATACTCGGTTTATTGTTTGAATGCTATAGGTACTACTTGTAACATGCTTTCTTTAGGGTCTTTTATGACTATGTTACTTATGTTCTTGTGTTCTTGAAGGCCTTGTATGCCACTGTAAACTTATTCTGCTTAGTCATAATAAATAGCTTCTGGAGGCAGGGGCTTTAATCCGTGTAAGGCAGACATCATGTCAGCTAGGTAATGGAGCCCCTGTTCTCTGGTTAACAGTGGACGGCAGCTAACCCCGTCGTCGGCTCTGGGTAATGGCGGACGTGTTGCTGTACTGATTAACCATTAAGGTAAAGGGACAGTGCCCACGTCCTCCGTCACTTATCACTTAGCTATTCCATAATATTTTCGCTCTTGTATTATCAGTGTCATACTAATCAGGATAAACTTATTATTAAACGGTAGGTATGCGAAAAGACGTATAGCAAGCAATATTCAAAGTATCCCGCGTTCTTACCGAAATTGCACTTTCCTGGATTTCAATGATATAATGACCGATTTACTTTTTTCCGTTTTCTTTCAAAATCTGTACTATAATACTTTGTCTTAATTCTTTTTAAAGGTTTGGTAAATTATATTATATTAGCTTTTTAGCTGGTTTAAACGTTTAGAAAAATATCGCTAAGAAATGTCCTTATTTTTTCCTACATAATTTTCAAGTCTGCTTCAAATTTCCTGCTGTCGAAACAAAAGCTCAAATAAAAAATCGTTTCCCGTTCCTTCATAACGACTCGTTAAAACTTTCCTCGTCATTTATTTAATTATTTTGTAAATCTCACAGAAGTGTTTCTTCATCATTTATAAGCATAATAGTTTGCTTATGATAACTGCTGTAATACTTTTAGTTGTTTTTTCGGTATCATAAGTTTTGGAGTATCTACATCCTTTCTCCATAGGGAGAAATTTGCCGTTGTTTTCGTCTAAACTAAAGAAAAAATGACCATTATCAGTGGTTTCAAACTCAATTTTCAAGCGACCTGGATACACGATCTGAAAGCAATTGACAGAATTTTTTAGAGTATTAAACTGGATACTCTAAAAAAGTACCAAAATTCAAAATTTTACTTGCTAAATATTTATCAAAACATACATAAGGCTAATGATGAAAAGGAAAAAAAATTCCAATTTGTATTTATTTCCTGTCTGAAATCTGAAGTTTGATATCTGCAACAAATTTCTGCTGATTACACTTTTTATTTAAATGATTCATTAAATTACGATTGGCGTAAGATTCTCTTACAAAGGAAAATTAAAAATAAGAATAGTGGAAAATAGGTTAAAATCAACTTAACGTACTATCAAGAGAAAGTTTTGCGGGCGATATTTATATTTCTTTATCCCAATGACTTTCAAAGAGATAACTTCGTCAAGACAAAGTAATAAGTCATACTTCAAAAGGTACCACTGCATTCTTTGACAAAAGGAAGACCAATACAGGTATTGCATTTCTTTTCCAGCCTATTCCTAAGAAATTCCCTGACGTTTCACCTATAGACTTTTACGTATTTGATCACTTGGAAAGAGTCCTTTCTAAGCGCAAACACACGACGATTAAGGGACACTGGAAACTAATGGGAAAAAAATGGGAATATTATCACTGGAAATTTTAAGAAAAGCCCTTGGACATTCAGGGAATCACGATGTAGACTTACAGTGTAGAAAAAAATGCTATCAGATTAAACATATAAAACAAATGCTCTTTACATTTTAAACATTAATTAAACTGCCCCTTCTGAGGTTTAAAAGATCGACAGAACTGAAGGGACGTAATTTTTAATCAACCTGTAAAGAAATAATTGCATACGGTTTATTAAGCAATAAAAATTTAAATTTCGTTAGAGAGAGACACTGATGTGCTAAATCTTATTTAAATTTACTTGAAATATTCCTGTTGTGTATTGTTTTTAAATTAGTTAATTTTAATTGTAAATATTATATCATAATAACAATTTATATTATAATAAAATACTATATTGCAATAATATAACATTATGTTATATTAACCCAGTATCTGTGTATTTTAAAAAATATTGTATTATATTATAGTACATAAGTAGTGGGTTGGAATCTCATCGAAAAGCTGGATGCATAAACGTTTCGTATTACAGTAAAACATTATATTGCAATAATATAACATTATGTTACATTAACCCCGTATTTGTGTATTATAAAAAATATTGTATTATATTATAGTACATAAGTAGTGGGTTGGAATCCCATCGAAAAGCTGGATGGATGCATAAACGTTTCGTATTACAGTAAAACATTATATTGCAATAATATAACATTATGTTATATTAACCCAGTATTTGTGTATTATAAAAAATATTGTATTATATTATAGTACATAAGTAGTGGGTTGGAATCCCATCGAAAAGCTGGATGCATAAACGTTTCGTATTACAGTAAAACATTATATTGCAATAATATAACATTATGTTATATTAACCCAGTATTTGTGTATTATAAAAAATATTGTATTATATTATAGTACATAAGTAGTGGGTTGGAATCCCATCGAAAAGCTGGATGCATAAACGTTTCGTATTACAGTAAAACATTATATTGCAATAATATAACATTATGTTATATTAACCCAGTATTTGTGTATTATAAAAAATATTGTATTATATTATAGTACATAAGTAGTGGGTTGGAATCCCATCGAAAAGCTGGATGCATAAACGTTTCGTATTACAGTAAAACATTATATTGCAATAATATAACATTATGTTATATTAACCCAGTATTTGTGTATTATAAAAAATATTGTATTATATTATAGTACATAAGTAGTGGGTTGGAATCCCATCGAAAAGCTGGATGCATAAACGTTTCGTATTACAGTAAAACATTATATTGCAATAATATAACATTATGTTATATTAACCCAGTATTTGTGTATTATAAAAAATATTGTATTATACTATAGTACATAAGTAGGGGGTTGGAATCCCATCGAAAAGCTGGATGCATAAATGCTTCGTAGTTTTTGCCAAAGTCTATAGGAGACAGTTTCCCTTAAAAAGACCTATACGAAGGCCTTTAGACATAAAGCTCCACTGGGCCCTACCATAGTTTAAATAATCCAGTCCATTAAAATTTGCAAAAGTTACCTGAAGTTTCAATTTTAATCGTTTCTTATTGCCATTTTTCCTCTGATACGCCATTTTCTAGAATTCAATAGAAGCCGAGGTTTATATAATGGATTTAAGATGGGTATTTTTTTATAACTTAAAATGAATTGTATAAATTGCAGTTAAAAATTAAATGAATACCATGTTGAAAAAATGAAGATTCCTCAGGCTATTTCAATCACATATACAAACAGAATTTTTTTATTTTTGCCTGATGTATTGATATTCAACGAGTCTAGGAAACAAGTTAAGTTTTTTTACTTTTTTAATTTATGACATTTTCCCTAACTTGACTGCATCTAACAAGACAGCCACTGACATGTTACGCTGTAAACACAAAGAGTTTCCTTTTTATCTTTGACTAATTTAAGGCCAAGGTCACGATAGCTACATTACCCTCGAATAGAGGAAGCGAATGTAATTGATATAGACGTGCTTTGAATAATAAATTAACAAACAGGAAAGTCTCTAAGCGTTAAAGTATATGATTATTCGCTTTAGAATTTTACGCTATAATTGTTTTTTCATAATTTCAGATAAATGAATTTTTGTATTAAATAATTGACATGATATTTATTTCTTATCTCACTGAGCGGATTACCATTTCCTCGCACGATGTGCGTAGATCTTATTGATCCTTTGATAGAGCATGACGTCCAAGCCTCTGCCTTTTTTGCTGAACGGTTTAACTCCGGAATTGGAAAATAAAGCGTTTTTAGAGCTGGGAGAGACGCCTAAAGTAAAAAATGATGCGCTGGAAGAAATGAAGAGGCTCATTAAAGGTAAATACAATCTTGCGCATTTTCTAATTTCGTGTTTCAAAATGGGTCTTATAATTAGAAAAGAAAAAAAAAAAAAAAACTCCCTCTACCTTTTGTTATTTAACCTTTTATAGAGAAAGCTAATTTTATTTATTAGCCCAAAGAGGCGATTTGCCCAGAACTATTAAATTCGTTTTGGCGTTTTGATTTGGTTCACTATAAATGTCCGATTCACTTTTCAAATTGCTGCCACCAAATATTAGAGCCTTGTATTATATTTAAAGAAATTAAAAAATGAAGAATCTGCATAAATATATATACATTTCTCGCACTGTGATAAAACAACGGTATCTACAGCCATCCAGCTTTGAATGACGTAATCCTACAGCGAATATGGGCATCTGGAAACTCAAATTTGGAATTTGTTTTATTATCAATTGCATATTTTGTAAAACTTTAACTAATTTTTGATTAATTAACAAACTCAACGATTTCAAAGCGAGCAATGGCAACACTGTACGGGAGTGGGAATACCTCCAGCGCAAGCGACTGCGTATTGGGGAAATTCTAAAGATTTCTATTTTAAAATTATTTTGCAATATGGCTGTTGAATTGAAATTTATGGTTTCAGTGCGAAGAACATGATATTTAATAAATAATGGTAACACGCAAACCGTTAAAAACAACGCCACTTAATGTGAAATCTGAAAAAGCTTTCAGATTTTTTACTTCCTTGTACGAAGTAAAAAGGAAGTATTGTAATCGCGAAAAGTTTCAGGCAGCATATTTCAACGAAAATATCCATTTTGACCACTTTCGAATGCAATTTAACGATGTATTTGCATGATATCTGTACGTAAGGACAGAATGAAAGACTCTTTTCCTCCAAAAAAATTATAAAACTGCTATAAAATGAATTCTAAAGAGAATTTTTCGTCTGGCGTCTGCACGAACGTACGTACGTACGTACGTATCTCGCATAACTCAAAAACGAGTAGCCTCAGAACGTTGAAATTTTGTATATAGGACTACTATAACATGTAGATGTGCACCTCGTATTTTGGTTGCAATCGGCAGCGCCAAACGTATATAAATATATTTATATATATATCCACTCTGTTACCCGGCTCAGTGATCTCAGTTTCTTTACTCTTATATGGTTGTAAATTGTACATTTTTTGCTTTAAAAATGATTGAATATTTTTGTTCTTATCTTCCGGTTGAGATTTTTATGCCTTTAGTAAATCTGTACGCAGATTTTTAGAATTTTCTACAATTTTAAATTTGTTTAAGTGCCGCTAAGCCTAATAATTTTTTTTTTTTTTTGATGGCGGCAATTGCTTGTTTACATTTGAAACTGCAGAGTAGTGGATTTGTTGCCAATCTAGAGAAACGTAGCTTCGCAACAACAAAGATAACGCCTTCATTTATTATTGCGAATTCAGTCATGCTTAATCCTTTCTGGAATTTTTTCGAGGAAATAAGTGTTATTTACTTAATTTTTAATAATTTAGTTTTTAATAATTAGTAATTTAATTTTTAATAGTTAGTAATTTTTAATACAGATATTTTGAGTTTTTATGTATTTTTGCCTTGTCGCGAAGTGAGAACTGAATTAATTGAATGAGAAATACTCAATCGTCTGTGAAAAACTGTTTCTTTTTTGTTTTGTTTGCTTAATTTCTTTTATACATCGTTCTAGCTTTATTATAGTATTTGAATAGAACATGTGGCAACGATTAGATAATTCTTTAAATGACATAAATTTTGTGCATTCTGATTTATAATATGAACGAAATATAATACTCTTAAGTGAACTTAGCGCCAGAGTGTCGCTATGGTAAACAAATAAAGTTAATTTAAAGAATGCATTTATTCTATTGGGTTTTATGCGCTGTCGGCGAAGTAGGTTTAATTCAATCCAATAAGTTTAAACAAAATGCAAGAAAAATGCGTATAATTTAATATTCCGTACAAGGAAGTCATGTGGTGTGGACATCAGATTTTTTTTTATAGTAGTTCTAATTATAATCTTCTTAGATCTTCAAACGATGATATCGATATTCTTCCAGTAATCGATTTCATTCCAGTTACTTGCCAAATAGTAGCTGCATTAGCAACTAAATCAGAATTTTTAGAAATTAACCTTAATTTTAGATGGAGTTTGAATATGTATTAATAAATAACTTGTTTATTATAACTGTTAAATAATTATTCCAGTTTATTTTTTCGAGATTTTTACAGAAATGCTTCTGTCCAAATAAAGAAAAGGATTTTTAGCCCGAAGGAGCTTTAACTCAGAAAGGCTATAAATTTTATTTTGGCATTTTGCTTTGGTTCTGAATAAAAGTCTGAATCACTTTTGAAATTGTTGCCACCAAATATTAGAGCCCTGCATTATATTAAAAGAAATTGAATAACGAAGAATCTGTATCCATGTATGCATGTTTCTCGCACTTTGAAAAAGACATCAAAGACGTCAAATTTTGAACAGCGTAGTCCTCCACTTGAACATGGGTATCTGGAAGCCCACACTTGGAATTTGTTTTATTACCTAGTTCATGTTTCGTAAAACTGAAGTTTTTTCGCCGTTAAAAAAGCAGACAAGATTCTTTTATCTCATTCTATATTATCAGCTCCTTGAAATTAAGTTCCCCTAAAGCAGACTTCAGAGAAAAGATATGGTAATTGCTGAAAAAATACTTTATTTTTCTAGTAAAAACACTAATGAACTTGTTTATTATCACTGTTAAATAATTATTCCAGTTTATTTTTCGAGATTTTTACAGAAATGCTTCTGTCCAAATAAAGAAAAGGATTTTTAGCCCGAAGGAGCTTCAGCTCAGAAAGGCTATAAATTTTATTTTGGCAATTTGCTTTGGTTCTGAATAAAAGTCTGAATCACTTTTGAAATTGTTGCCACCAAATATTAGAGCCCTGCATTATATTTAAAGAAATTGAATTGAAGAAGAATTGAAAAGAAATTAAAGAAATTAAAGAAAAGAATCCATGTATGCATGTTTCTCGCACATTGAAGTTGGTCACTACTAGGATCGAAAGCGATGGTCTCTTTATGCAGACATTTATTTATCTATTTATCGAGGCACTTATTTATCTCTTTAAGGACGCACTTATTTATCTATTTATGGAAGCATTTATTTATCTATTTATGGAGCAACTTATTTATCTCTTTATGGAGGCACTTATTTATCTCTTTATGGAGGCACTTATTTATCTCTTTATGGAGGCACTGATAGATGGTTCATTGTTGCCTGTTATGAAGGAAAAGACAGTTTATATCCATGCCTTCTCCAGGATTCGAGCCCAGGCCCTTCAGATAACTTATTTGTGTCTTGTTTTAATATTAAATTTCGAAAGGTTCGACGTTTATGGAGGCACTTATTTATCTCTTTATGGAGGCACTTATTTATCTCTTTATGGAGGCACTTATTTATCTCTTTATGGAGGCACTTATTTATCTCTTTATGGAGGCCTTTATCTCTTTATGGAGGCACTGATAGATAGGTTATTGTTGCCTGTTATGAAGGAAAAGACAGTTTATATCCATGCCTTCTCCAGGATTCGAGCCCAGGCCCTTCAGGTCACTTATTTGTGTCTTGTTTTAATATTAAATTTCGAAAGGTTCGACGTTTATGGATGCACTTATTTATCTCTTTATGGAGGCACTTATTTATCTATTTATGGAGGCACTTATTTATCTCTTTATGGAGGCACTTATTTATCTCTTTATGGAGGCACTGATAGATAGGTCATTGTTGCCTGTTATGAAGGAAAAGACAGTTTATATCCATGCCTTCTCCAGGATTCGAGCCCAGGCCCTTCAGGTCACTTATTTGTGTCTTGTTTTAATATTAAATTTCGAAAGGTTCGTTTATGGACGACTTATTTATCTCTTTTATGGATGCACTTATTTATCTCTTTATGGAGGCACTTATTTATCTATTTATGGAGGCACTTATTTATCTCTTTATGGAGGCACTTATTTATCTGTTTATGGAGGCACTTATTTATCTCTTTATGGAGGCACTTATTTATCTCTTTATGGAGGCACTTATTTATCTCTTTATGGAGGCACTGATAGATAGGACATTGTTGCCTGTTATGAAGGAAAAGACAGTTTATATCCGTGCCTTCTCCAGGATTCGAGCCCAGGCCCTTCAGGTCACTTATTTGTCTTTTGTTTTAATATTAAATTTCGAAAGGTTCGACGTTTATGGAGGCACTTATTTATCTCTTTATGGAGGCGCTTATTTATCTATTTATGGAGGCACTTATTTATCTCTTTATGGAGGCACTTATTTATCTCTTTATGGAGGCACTTATTTATCTATTTATGGAGGCACTTATTTATCTCTTTATGGAGGCACTTATTTATCTATTTATGGAGGCACTTATTTATCTATTTATGGAGGGACTTGTTTATCTCTTTATGGAGGCACTTATTTATCTCTTTATGGAGGCACTTATTTATCTCTTTATGGAGGCACTGATAGATAGGTCATTGTTGACTGTTATGAAGGAAAAGACAGTTTATATCCATGCCTTCTCCAGGATTCGAGCCCAGGCCCTTCAGGTCACTTATTTGTGTCTTGTTTTAATATTAAATTTCGAAAGGTTCGACATTTAGGGAGGCACTTATTTATCTATTTATGGAGGCACTTATTTATCTATTTATGGAGATTTATGGAGGCACTTATTTATCTCTTTATGGAGGCACTGATAGATAGGTCATTGTTGCCTGTTATGAAGGAAAAGACAGTTTATATCCATGCCTTCTCCAGGATTCGAGCCCAGGCCCTTCAGGTCACTTATTTGTGTCTTGTTTTAATATTAAATTTCGAAAGGTTCGACGTTTATGGATGCACTTATTTATCTCTTTATGAGGGCACTTATTTATCTATTTATGGAGGCACTTATTTATCTCTTTATGGAGGCACTTATTTATCTCTTTATGGAGGCAATTATTTATCTCTTTATGGAGGCACTTATTTATGGTGGCA